CCTCCTCCTCCTCCTCCTCCTCCTCCTCCTCCTCGTTCTTCTTCTTCTTGCTTCTTGCTCCGCCTCTGCTTCTGCTTTCTGCTTCCGCTTATGCTTCTGCTTCTGCTTCTGCTTTCTGCTTCTGCTTCTGCTTCTGCTTCTGCTTCTGCTTCTTCTTCTGCTTCTGCTTCTGCTTCTGCTTCTGCTTCTGCTTCTGCTTCTGCTTCTGCTTCTGCTTCTGCTTCTGCTTCTGCTTCTGCTTCTGCTTCTGCTTCTGCTTCTGCTTCTGCTTCTGCTTCTGCTCCTGCTTCTGCTTCTGCTTCTGCTTCTGCTTCTGCGTCTGCTCCTGCTTCTGCTTCTGCTTCTGCTTCTGCTTCTGCTTCTGCTTCTGCTTCTGCTTCTGCTTCTGCTTCTGCTTCTGCTTCTGCTTCTGCTTCTGCTTCTGCTTCTGCGTCTGCTTCGGCTTCTGCTTCTGCTGCTGCTTCTGCTGCTGCTGCTGCTGCTGCTGCTGCTGGCTGCTGGCTGCTGGCTGCTGGCTGCTGGCTGCTTGCTGCTTGCTGCTTGCTGCTTGCTGCTTGCTGCTTGCTGCTTGCTGCTTGCTGCTTGCTGCTTGCTGTGCTGCCTTCTGCTGTGCTGCCTTCTGCCTTCTGCCTTCTGCCTTCTGCCTTCTGCCTTCTGCCTTCTGCCTTCTGCCGTCTGCCTTCTGCCTTCTGCCTTCTGCCGTCTGCCGTCTGCCGTCTGCCGTCTGCCTCTGCCTCTGCCTCTGCCTCTGCCTCTGCCTCTGCCTCTGCCTCTGCCTCTGCCTCTGCCTCTGCCTCTGCCTCTGCCTCTGCCTCTGCCTCTGCCTCTGCCTCTGCCTCTGCCTCTGCCTCTGCCTCTGCCTCTGCCTCTGCCTCTGCCTCTGCGTCTGCCTCTGCCTCTGCCTCTGCCTCTGCCTCTGCCTCTGCCTCTGCCTCTGCCTCTGCCTCTGCCTCTGCCTCTGCCTCTGCCTCTGCCTCTGCCTCTGCCTCTGCCTCTGCCTCTGCCTCTGCCTC